GCCGAACAAAAAAATTTCCTCGTCCACCAAAAGGGCTCAGTGAATACGGTAAAATGTGAAAAAGGATGGAGGCAAAACGCTGGCTTATACTCTGCTGGCCAGTGAGGAAAGAGAAAGAGCGAGAAATGGATCCTAAGGCAATGGAGGCGACAGAAGCATAACAGAACCGATTCAAAAAAGAAAAGGTAGCGCGCAGAACTTGCGGTTGCGTTCAGGCTCTCGTTAAAAACAGCTTTCCTTTCGGCTTGTAGGAGTGTGGTATGTAGACAAGAGGCGAGTGTGAAACGCAAACCACTAATTTCTAAATCGTTTAGCTCGATTCTTGTCTGGATAGTCGATCACGTCTTGTACTGTACGCTGGAGCGTCAATTCCTAGAAACCCTCGGATAGGTAGATGTGATTTCGACGAGACAGACGGGGCGCACAAGTTGACTCAATGCATTCTCCGCAGTGCAACTCCTACAAATCAAAGCTACACGACTGCTGATTTAAGTAGTCCAAAACTAAAGGACAGACACTAAAGACAAAAGGATAGTCTTTAGGGTTGATGAACTATTTCCGTCATGACTGACAACTGCCAATGGGCAAAGTCATATTTAAACTATTCATACAATGTTCACACAAACACAAGAAGCACTGGTAACAAGACTTTGGTGTTCATAAATTTACGAAACTTGTTTCACACATTGAAGAGTAAAATAGCGCTATATAAGGGTAAAGTTATAACATTTGAAAGGTTCAGCTTGATTAGTCAAGCATTCTCTTCTATCCTTTTATACCACTGAACACATTTACGAAGCACTTAGAGGAACCCAGTAACAAGACAAGGTACCAAAGATTCTGAAGGTCAACATATCCCAAATTAATGAGGTCACAGAGGAGTCAAAGACAGCTTACTTGTGCGTTTTGTCGCATTTGTTGGGCGTAGAAGTGGCAATATCTTTAAGAGACTGACAGCAATGCGACTGGCTGGATGAAGTCAAAACGGGACGAAATAATAGTCGACCAACGCCCTGACAAGGCTTCACATGGGTCTCCTTGTCTGCGTCGTCAGCTGCATCATTGTCTGAGGTAACGCGAAGGGAGCACGGTTTTACACCCCGGGGTGCTGATTCTGAGGAGCTGGAGGCAGGATCAGAGTAATCACAGTACCCATCACTATCTTACTGTTTGGTAGAGTACGTATAAAAAAGGCACCATTGAAGATATCTACCCATTGTCATTGTAGTTTTGACAAATTATGTTTAAAAGGAAAATCATTGATTAGTGAGAACACAAAGACTAAAATGTTGTTCAAGTCTATTCCTTCACGCACGTCAATTGATGCACATAGGCAAACAAATGGGATATGAGGCGATTCCCTCTAGGAAGGGAAGGGGTTTAGAGCCCGTTAGGTCGGAGAATTGCACCAGCCTTACGTTATTATTCTTAAATCTCCTACCATTATGCTGAAAAGCTTGCCGATCTCAGAACTCCATGGTAATATTTTCAAGCAACAAAACACCAGAAGAGTTGGAAAAGTAAGACAAGATCCAAGTTGAAACATCACTGCAATGCCTAGGTTCGAGATTCAAAACTGTTATATGGAGGCACAAAAATCATCGGCCCATTTCGTGCGATAAGGGGTGGAATGACTCACAGTTGACATACTTTATGGTGTCATAGGTCAAGGCTCATAATGCTCTTGTTTTTTTCCTGTAAAAATTAGCATAAAGGCAATCGGTGGAACCCCGAAAACCACCGAAGGAATCAAAAACGCGTTTCCAAAAGCAGCTTTCCGCCATTGTTTTGAGATTGGTGAAAATGAGGAACATTAATGAAGAAGACCGGCACGTACTGATCCCAACCCTGAGTACATTTGAGATCTTATATCATTTTTAACCACAACAGACCTAAGCAATAAGGCAACAAGGACACAAGAGCAAGTTTACTCCAGACTCAAGTCGATGTAGATGTATTGGATCATGTGAATTTTGGATCAGGAGGGAGCAAAATCAAGGGAATAGGGAGAAATGTGGAGAGACAATAATCAAATAAGTTTTCATCCATCCAGTCTTGGTCATAAATGCAAAAGCCGATTAATTTTCAGTGAATATTATTTCAAAATATGAGCATAAAAGAGGAATCACCTCAAACCCAAGTCAGCGGCGAGGTATCCAACCATGTCAATCTTTCTTCGAAGAGAGGCAGCATCCGTGGTGGCGATACCCGAGTCCGCCTCGGGCACGGGATTGCTCGCCATAGGTGGTGGCGGTGCTGGAAGGGGTTGTTGAAGGTGGGGATGCGGAGAGGTGGCAATGACGGCGGTATCCTCTGTAGTGAGGCTTGATGTCTGTGTCTGGGCCACAGCACGCCGATTCTCCAAAAGAGCGCGCTGTTGGGCATATGCGATACGAAAGGCCTCACCCACGAGATTATTCAAATTCTCTGCCTTGAAAGGGAAAAGTGATGATTGAAGTGGACTGCAATTATAGAAAGGTTCTCCTCTCCCCTCTCCCCATCCACAAAATGGTAGAGGTTAATTACCATTTGCAGAAGTTTTAATTCAATCTTTAGCCGTAAAAACGCGTTCACATTTTCATTTTCATAGAAAAGAATGGAGTTTTCAGTTCATCAATGCAATCGAAGGACTTTAATTGAGGTCATATCAACAAAATAGCTCACTGCTTATACATAATATAATCAAGTAGTTTTAGGGGACTTCTTTCAACACTTTCCACTAAAAAAATTTCCAGTTGTAATCTATTGACCCTTATTAATGAGGCAAAAGTCTGACAATCCAACCTTTACCAAGCATTCTACTACTTGAGTCGGACAGTTTGGTCATTGCCACTTCTAGCCCAACTTGTTTGCCAAAATGTCTATTCTATTTAAAATGCGATTGTCTACCGACAGTCCCGGGCAAAGACAACAATGCTGCAGGCAGTAAAGCGAATGAGATAAGACGTTCTCCGCCTCCCCCTTTGCCGTCGAGCTTATATTGGAAGACGATCCAACCGTTTAACTTGTGGCACGCAGAAAAGCCCCAAAAAGATGTTATGGATGTGGCATATCACAGGCACCACCAGAAGACTAAAATAAACTTTCGAAACAGTCTAAAGATAAAAGTGTAGTACGTCTTCTATTGCCTCGATTTATGCCTACAGAATGAAGTCCTGTCCCAAACGAAAGGACAGTTTTATGTTCAAGTTGTTTCTCTTGCGTCACTAGGATAGTGAACTGGTCCCAAATTTACGGCCGGATGAATGATAGCTACAGCTCCTCCCAAAAGTGAAGGGCAGTAACAACCCTGGTCTTGGGTGCAGACAGAACCAAACCACCAACCATCATGAAGTGGCTAAAGTAGCAGTTTGAAATGGTCCCAAAAGAGGAAGACAAATCCTTGAGCTCCTTCGACCAAATAACCGAACAAGCTCAGGTACACCTATGTTTGTATTAACTTGGATCAAATCAGTGACAGACGTGGAGATTTTTCATCCGCTCGCAAAACAAAATGATCCAGATCATTTACATAATCGTAGAGAAAGCTATTATACAAACAAGAAGAGAAAAACCATCACCACTTAGTTCTCAAACAAAAGGACTTCATTGTACAGAAAAACGTACACATCAGATCATCGAAGTTTGTAAGATCTACAACAATGATTTAAAATCAAACAACCTGGGCGAGCTGAACAGACTCAGTGAATGAAAATGATCATGCATAAAATCAGCAAATAGCTGTGATTAAATATCGGTGTTCAGAATAGGGCACCTTCTCCTAGTCCTTCGTCATCATCTTTTGACAGAGCTTAGTCAACCTATTCCAAGTGACTCAGCACCTCGCAGAGGCATTGTGTGCGCTCGCACCCGTCCATCGGCCCGCACCGTCTATCGAGAACAAATTACTGGCTTGATTGCAGTGCTTTTGGAATTAAAACAAAAGGAATGTGGGGCCAAATGATTTTGATGCAAGGATCGTGATTCAATATCAACCAGGCACCAAGATCGTGGAAGCTCCAGTAAAGTGTTTCATTTATATCACCTCACCAAGGTGTTGTGTAACTTAATAGAAATGGAGGAGGGGGAAAAGAGGAAATTCCTATTATCGATTTCGTTGTACTTGAAAGTCTCTGAATGCTTTTTGGACACTTGAAAGCAAGCATTTAAAATACCAAAACAACTTCAAAAAGCATTAATACGGGGCTTATGAAGCATTTGGTCACTAAACAAGCTACACTATTCATTACATAAGAAGACTCGCTAGCGATACTCATACCACATTTCCCACAAGACCGATGTACAAAACACAGACAATATCCCGCACTTTGAGTTCAATGAGCCACGCTAAGAGTAAACTAGTTTGCATTTCAGAAGCACGGATTGAGAGATAGAAACGTAGAAAATAAAAAAATAAACCACTGGCTGCATTTTACAAAAAATGATTTGTGCTATGAAAGGCCAACCGCTCACCTCGGTATAAGAAATGTCCAATGGTAAACAAGTAAAACTACAGCTTGCAAGAACATATTAATTGTGACAAAGAAAGCAGGACCCACTTCTTCGGGAGTTTTTGTTACGAAGGCATGACAGTACTGTACATTGGGCTGAGCTTTAGGCTCCCTGGCAAGGAAAGCAAATTGACAGCAGTCAGGATCGCAGGTGGCATAGGAGATCCGACGCAGAGCATGGGCCATGTGCACGCTCTAGTGAGGAACGAGGAGAATTACAATAAAGCCAGTGCTTAAAATTAGTAAAGGCCTAATAGCGATGAATGTTTGTAATGAAAACGGTTTCATAGTGCTAATCAGACAGGTCAAAGCTAAAATTATGTTAAAACTGTTATGTAAGCAAATCAGCGTATGGCATTTCCAGATTCTTCACTAAGAAAGTTTGCCCAGATCAGAGATTGCAATAAGTAAAGCGTAAGAAAGGATTACGCCTCGCAAACATCGTCTTTCACTCACTGTTCCACTATCATCGCAGACTTTGATTCCGTGAAGGGAAATGACTAATAATATGGGTTTGCTCTGTGTGTAACCCTAAAATCGAAAGCAATGAACCTACAGAATAAAGAGGAATCGCGATTTGATGATGAAGGTGAAAAACAAACGTGTCAAAAAGCAAACAGGAGCTTTCGTGGGTCAAAAGATCTAAAAAATAAAGGGAAA